CAAATAATCCCCTACCTGATTCCTCTATCAAATAATCCCCTACCTGATTCCTCTATCAAATAATCCCCTACCTGATTCCTCTATCAAATAATCCCCTACCTGATTCCTCTATCAAATAATCCCCTACCTGATTCCTCTATCAAATAATCCCCTACCTGATTCCTCTATCAAATAATCCCCTACCTGATTCCTCTATCAAATAATCACCTACCTGATTCCTCTATCAAATAATCACCTACCTGATTCCTCTATCAAATAATCCCCTACCTGTTTCCCTCTATCAAATAATCCCCTACCTGATTCCTCTATCAAATAATCACCTACCTGATTCCTCTATCAAATAATCCCCTACCTGATTCCTCTATCAAATAATCCCCTACCTGTTTCCCTCTATCAAATAATCCCCTACCTGATTCCTCTATCAAATAATCCCCTACCTGATTCCTCTATCAAATAATCACCTACCTGATTCCTCTATCAAATAATCCCCTACCTGATTCCTCTATCAAATAATCACCTACCTGATTCCTCTATCAAATAATCACCTACCTGATTCCTCTATCAAATAATCCCCTACCTGATTCCTCTATCAAATAATCACCTACCTGATTCCTCTATCAAATAATCCCCTACCTGATTCCTCTATCAAATTATCACCTACCTGATTCCTCTATCAAATAATCACCTACCTGATTCCTCTATCAAATAATCCCCTACCTGATTCCTCTATCAAATAATCCCCTACCTGATTCCTCTATCAAATAATCCCCTACCTGATTCCTCTATCAAATAATCCCCTACCTGATTCCTCTATCAAATAATCCCCTACCTGATTCCTCTATCAAATAATCCCCTACCTGATTCCTCTATCAAATAATCCCCTACCTGATTCCTCTATCAAATAATCCCCTACCTGATTCCTCTATCAAATAATCCCCTACCTGATTCCTCTATCAAATAATCCCCTACCTGATTCCTCTATCAAATAATCCCCTACCTGATTCCTCTATCAAATAATCCCCTACCTGTTTCCCTCTATCAAATAATCCCCTACCTGATTCCTCTATCAAATAATCCCCTACCTGATTCCTCTATCAAATAATCCCCTACCTGATTCCTCTATCAAATAATCCCCTACCTGTTTCCCTCTATCAAATAATCCCCTACCTGATTCCTCTATCAAATAATCCCCTACCTGATTCCTCTATCAAATAATCCCCTACCTGATTCCTCTATCAAATAATCCCCTACCTGTTTCCCTCTATCAAATAATCCCCTACCTGATTCCTCTATCAAATAATCCCCTACCTGATTCCTCTATCAAATAATCCCCTACCTGATTCCTCTATCAAATAATCCCCTACCTGTTTGCCTCTATCAAATAATCCCCTACCTTATTCCTCTATCAAATAATCCCCTACCTGTTTCCCTCTATCAAATAATCCCCTACCTGATTCCTCTATCAAATAATCCCCTACCTGTTTCCCTCTATCAAATAATCCCCTGCCGTTTTTCTCCCTTTCAAATATTCGTCTTGACATTTGTACTTATCAAGAGGCCAGCGTATTCCTGTCTATGAAGATAGTGAAATCATTTGAGGCATCAGGGAGTAATGGGTTAATCCCGCACGTTTCTCATACCACCTCCAGTACAGATTGGAGCTATTCTCCTACACTGAACAAAAAGCATTATTGTAATGGGTAGATGATAAAAGAACGCAGTTATTTATGTTGTTTATTGAAACAAAACAGTTTGGATCTCAACGGTGAACTCAAAGCTAACTAGTTCTGTCGTCAATAATATCAGTGTAACACAATCCACTATTATTTCACCCCAAAATGACGCTTGGTACCGAGCCTGACAGGCCGAGGTTTAATGACAGAATCCCCTTAAGTACGGCCTTGGCACTATCACGTGACAGGGAAACCATAGGCACGCCACAGTCCGCCCTCTCGTAGTCTCTCTACCCCATTACAGCAAGTGGTCGGTGAAGTAGACGCACCTGATCGATGAGTGATTCATATTGTCAGCTCATTCCAATTGATTGCTGGTCACTTCTCCCCCCATCCTTTCCCTTCTACGTCGTGAGTATAGCTATCACCTATGTAGCATCGAACTAGCCACAGAACTGAGCCTCACCTAAGATGTATACGTAGTTACGACCGAGCTCTGTCAGCCAGCCATTTCAAATGTGAAGTTTTTTTGTTTTTTTTAAATATTGTTTTGAGCTTCAACTCTTGATTGTAGTCGATTATCATCTATCTAATTTGTTTCCTCCACAGACATTGCCTTCTTTGACTACATATTTCTATAGGTCCTGACAAAGACGATGCTGTACCGGTATCGGAATATTCATTCAGTTATGAAGACAGGGATGTAATCGAATGCTACGATCCATGAAAAGATTCAGCGCCCCGGCTTCAGTCCACCCTGACCCGACTCGCCCGCCCGACGACGACAGTGATGCCAGCCTGAGCGATGGCAGCAAAAAGGTCAAGACGACGCAGTCGTTTGAGCCGCTCTTCAACAGCGAGTCCCTTAGCGACATCGTCTTGGACGTCAATCGTGGGGAGGCAGTCTTCCACGCCCACAAAACCATCGTGGGGCTCAAGAGCGAACGGCTGGCCGCACTCATCACGAGTCTGGCCACAACCCCGTCGGACAACAGCAGCAAGCCCGTGCTGCACCTGCAGGAGGCCCCCGAGTGCAGCGCAGTGTTCAGCAGATTTCTGTACTTTATTTACAGCGGGGCCGTCTGGCTGCACAGAGACTACGTCGTGCCGCTTTTCAAGTTGTCCGTCAAGTACGGGGTGAACGCTTTGGCCAACCACTGCGAGAACTACATCTTACAGCTGCTCAACAAGTGCATGGCCGTGGACATCAACTGCGCCAACCCGCCGCCGACCCTCTCCGTGACCACTGTATGCGACCTGTACGAAGAGAGCGTTTACAGGGAAGAAACCCGAAGGATGGCATTTAACGTGCTGGCGAGACGATTCGTGGACCTGATTCACACAGAGAGATGGATCACATGTGAATGGCTGACCGTTAGGGATCTTCTTCGTTGTGACGAGTGCTTGTGCGAGGAGAATCTTATACTGGTTGCAGCTACTGACTGGATGAAGAGAAACAAGCTTCAGGACAAAGGGAGAATCCAGGAGATTCTATCCTCTATACGTTACCCTAGACTTCCTAGGAGAGTTCTCTACCATTTGTATACTGCTGCAAGCTTTAAAAACTTTCCCCAGGTTCAAGACCTGATCGAGGCGGCCATTAGATACCACTGCTTCAAGGACGTCCCAGAGGCGCAGGACGAGTTCACTGGATTGCAGTACCGGGCCAGGGGCAAGGGGCGAACCAGGCACACCGTGTGCGGTGGGGAGAACCTGAACTCTCAAGAGCTCCAGCACCAGGCCCATTCCTGGCAGTGGGAGGAGGCCAGCCCCGATATCAACTACAACTCCGGTCAATGCTGTGATAGCATCGCTGACTTCTCCAGGTCGGACGAGGTCAACGACAATCATTCTCATCAGCACACGCTCCTGTGTCGCGCCCAGCGGCAGACGAATCATCGGCCTATGGCATCCCCCGTGGCAGCCGTCCTTCCACGAGTTCATAGTTCGGATAGAGAGATTTGCAGCAACACGACCGACATCGCGCTGCAGATAAACATACACTCGCATAGTCAAATGTAAACATAAGTCACGACCTTGTAGCCGCCTGCCAATGTTTCAGGGTCAACATTTTCCCTTTATCTAATGTGATACAGCCTGGTTTATCCGAATGTAATGAAGCCAGTTCTAACCGGATATAACGCCATTTAATCGTTTAACAGATGTGATCATTTATTCGAATGTGATTTCATGGTGCAAATATCTTATGAAGACATTCATTTCGATGGTTATAACATAATCCACTTTAAATGGATTGAACCAAATGTGATTCAAAGACGACTCAAACTGAGTAGAAATGGACTTAAACGACAACATTTAGTAAACCCATTGTGATTTATATTAAAAAAAAAAAAGCCATTGGGTAAGCCTCGTGTGATAGCAATATATATTACTTCTGTTTAATGTGAACAGGACCATTATATACAATATATTAGATATAGTAAGGTTACTTTTTTTTTCGTTCACAAACTACAAGAGACCATGCAGGTCTGGTTTACTTTGGTTGAAGATTATCTTTTGTTTGTTAAATGTTTAACTAATGAATGTGATTCGTGCAGAAATAAGCCTAAGTTACTAAAACAGAAGCCTATCTATCTTGCAGATCTCTAACATACTTTCTTTGAAAGTCCAAGACACTAAACGGTAATATAGTCTCAGTGATAGTGCTGCGTGACTATTACCAAACGTAAATCAGTGAAACTCCATCTCTTAGAAATAATTCTCCCAACTTACTTCCCTACGTTTGTTTTTCCTCTTACACTGGACGCCACTTTCTACTATATTTTCGTATTTAATCTGTTGCTATTGAAGCAAGTCAAGAAAAAAATCGCATTGGTTAGAAATCGGACATTATGATTTATGGAAGGAACAACAACAAATTGAGTGGCTGCTGATCAACTTTGGGGGGGGGGGGGGGGGGAGTCTAGTAAGTGGGAGAACGTTGTTGACTGACGCAGGCAGTTCGGGGGGGGGGGGGGGGGGGAGTCTAGTAAGTGGGAGAACGTTGTTGACTGACGCAGGCAGTTCGGGGGGGGGGGGGGGGAGTCTAGTAAGTGGGAGAACGTTGTTGACTGACGCAGGCAGTTCAGGGGGGGGGGGGAGTCTAGTAAGTGGGAGAACGTTGTTGACTGACGCAGGCAGTTCGGGGGGGGGGGGGGAGTCTAGTAAGTGGGAGAACGTTGTTGACTGACGCAGGCAGTTCGGGGGGGGGGGGGGGGAGTCTAGTAAGTGGGAGAACGTTGTTGACTGACGCAGGCAGTTCGGGGGGGGGGGGGGAGTCTAGTAAGTGGGAGAACGTTGTTGACTGACGCAGGCAGTTCGGGGGGGGGGGGAGAGTTAGGGGGGGGGGCTGCTCAAATGTATTGATTTTGTGTTTGTTTATGTTGATCTTTGAAAGCGCTCTAGTGATATGAACGTTCTTTTATTATTATTATTTAATGAGATGTTCGCTTCATGATTTGGATATTTGAATCATTTCATGTTCACTGCAACTAGTGTCCTGGTTTGTAGCAATGTTGCTTTGAATGTATAAAATAAATCAAGTGGCAGGAAGAGTGGCCAGATTTATTGGAAAAAATATTTTAAAAACAATGAAAATGCAAACTTGATGAAAACATATTTGATTGACTTGTTTCCATTTCATTCATTACCTTTTTTAACTTAAGACTTTTTTTAAAAAAAGTTTGCATTCACCTGTTTACTCCTGCCACAGGTCATATTCTCTTGTGTATGGAATAGTATTAGATTCATGGAAAACTTTTTTTAAAAAATGAAACAGAAATGACAAAAAAAAATAAAAAATTGTCGAGGGTAAACCTCTAAATAATTGAACAACACCGGGTACTAAAGATTTATCTTGTGCAGGTTGTGAATACAAATGTGTCCGCAATAAAAAGCAAGTAAGAATCAACCTCAAAAAATCAGTTAAAACTTAAATCTAAAGATCAGCATGAACCTATCACAATATAAAAAAAAACCAGTGGGAACCAACTTAAAATAGTGAACAGTGAAGTCTATTTTTTTTTTGGTCCCATTCCTGGTTTATGATGATATCAAATATCCTTTTTTAAAATAGTAATTTCAATGTTTCTTTGGACATGTCTAGAGTAACAACATTGAAGTTGAATCAATGACTTTGGGTCGGAAAAAGGGGCGGCGGCTATGACACCTTTAACCGACAAAATTGACACGCTCATTAAAAAAAAAATTGACAACAACAACAACAACACAACTATGTAGATAATTTGAACATGTGTGTTTAAACGACTTGTTTATTGTGTTTAAGTTCCACGACAATCTCACTCTGCAATCCACTGGTTCAAAGTTTCCAGGAATCAGAACCTGCACTTTGAAATCTCCTTTCATTCCGTAGATATCAGCCTATGACATACGAGGCTAGAAGGGAAGCAGGAGATAGACATTTGGCCATGACCTATATTGAAAACATGTCCAGGATTCGCTCACCTCTCTCAACTTTCAACCCCCTCTTGACAGGTTTGAAAAAATGCAGACACAATAATACATTTAGCGTTGGCACGTTCAAGTTGAATAATACAACAACCACAAGGTGAAATTAGAAACGCTTTTTAAAAAATGCAATCTACCCATCGGGAAACTGTAGTCATAACCCTATACTGAGATAGATTTACACTTGAGTTCATCAATCTTGCCGAAGCTGGTTTACACTGCATTTGAGAAACCAGTTTCAAGAATGATTAGTTGAAAGAGTCGCAGATTCCAATGCAAGCTGTCGAGGGTCAGGACGGTGTGAAACTAAAAGGTTAATTTGGTAAATACAATAGTTTAATATGAAGAACCGTCTTTTTTTTTTCCCCCACCTGTAACTTAATGAAGCGTCAGCGTCATTAATGACCAAATATGTGGGTCACAGTGGGGTCTTTGAATCCTCGTAAACTTCTGCAATCTTCAGAATCGAAGACAAAGTCTTTTGTGAAAATTCCCTAACTATACTCCCCCGTGTTCAAATGTCGCAAAGGTTTCTTTCTCCCTTCCGTCTCTCTCTCTCCCCTCTATCCTCTGTACATGACATGTCAGCATTGACATCTAAAATAACACACACCAGAGAAGTGAATACTACTTGATGCTCACTGAAGTGCTCACACTAATACTATCACTGACTCACAGAGCACGAAAATGCAACCTGTGGCCAGTCCAAGTACGGCATCTATCTATAACACTAAATCTTTCAACCGAGTTGTTCCAGTATCCGGTGATGTACTGTCTTGTTATATATGATCGTGAAAGTACACTTTGGATTCAACCAATGGGTGATTAGCTCCTAACATATTTGACAGAATGACCTTCAACAAGCATCATATCCGCTGTGTGTGTGTGATTTTTGTTTTGTTTTCTCGATACAATGAAATAAGGCCGATTAGAACATTCGTAGTGGAGGAAAAGGGCATGAACTCCTTTTCCTTCCCCGTCTTTTCAAAATGATAAAAGCTTTAAGCATGACGAGTTTTCTCCCTTCATCTGCTCCCACGGGAGAATTCAACTCACAGCAAACCCCATTTCATCTTACACTTCACCGCTCCTAACCTTACCCACCCCTTCCAGCCACTCCGCAAATACAAGTCATACATTCACTGTTCAACCCCCCCCCCCCCACTCCTCCCGGTCCAAGCATTTAATACAAGATAAAACTCTAGCCTCCAATCTCAACATCTTTCAAAGAGGTCGCCATGGGAGCGGGGGAGGAGAAGATGTGAGTTACGGGCCTGGAAATAAGCAAACTTTGAGAAAACGACTTTTTTTCCCCCCTGGTTTTTAATTTTTGTAAATAGCGTTGAGTGTCAAGCCTCTTGCAGGCTCTATCCGCTGATGTCCTATCAAACTGGTTCATCACTGATGCTAGGCGTTAGACAATCTCTCCCCGAGATCAAACACCGCGGGACACAAACTCAGAATGTCGTCTAGATAGAGGAACTTGAAATGAGGAAGAAAAAATAAAAAGGTCGATGGCCACAAGAAATAGAACTCCGAGGCCCATAGCGATTAGAGAAGCATAACGTCTGAAATGGGGAGAGACTTGACCTCTCTCTTTCTATCCTTATCTGTCTAGCTCTGTTGCTAGTTTGCCCTTGCTGCATAATCCGAAAAAAACAACAACACGCTATATAAGTAAACTACCAAAACAAAACATAGCGATAACAAAATAATAAATGCATTGATCTTGTGAAAGTCATTTCCCCAGCAGTTTCGCCTGATTCTATTGACTTCTTAGAAAAATTCTAAAGATTTAAAACCATATCCCATCACATAGCCGAGTAACTAAGGAAGCCTGTATTTGAAACATCCACTTTCTAGACTATATATTTTTTAAATTATACAATATATGTCAATGACGCGGTGCCCTCGATACCTAGGCCCACTGAGCACAACGAAGCGTCAGAGGCACGCTTTCAATTGGACTAGGGAAGGGAACCATCGGAAATATATACTTTCTTCTCTGAATGAGATTTCAAAGGACATGTTACGAGTAATACGGCACGGATTATGAACACGTAAAACACTAGTTCAAAGCCTGCGGTCTTCGACCAACTGGCAAAGAGCAAAGAACAAAAGCACAAGCTCATTGAGGAAGATATCCTTTAGAAACGCTGGGGACGGATAGGCCACACCCTTGGAAAGCCTGCATCCAACATAACAAGGCAAAGCCTCACCTGGAACCACCAAAGGAAAGAGGAAGAGGGCACGTCCCAGGAATACATGGCGCAGCGATTTGGAAACGGATGCCAAGCAGATGGGCTAGACATGGGGACAGTTTAAGAGACTCGCCCAGAACCGAGGCGCATGGAGGAATTTGGTTGGCTGCCTATGCCCCAGACGGGATCAAGATGTAACTAACTATGTAATTTACGGTATTCTGTTTGAAAAAACGTGTGAATTTAAACGCAAATTTCTTTTCTAGAATATTCCAACTGTCAAAAGCTAACGTATGACCTTAAAAAGATTTTTAAAATCATCATGAAAAAAAAAAAAAAAAAAAAAAAAAAAACAAGACAGACAAACACAATACAAAAAAATTAAGCTATACCAATGACTAATCTAAACTATAACTGACTTAAGATTCTCTTTAAGCTACACAGGGCTTATGTGGACTCATAATTAAAAAGTAAAAAACTAAAACAAAACTGCTGGAAACCGTTGATCTCTTAGCTATAAACAGTGGGATGTATTCAAATTAGAATAATTGCCGTGGTTAGAGAGACAGTTTGGGAATAGCGATCAATTAGATGGATGGTATTAAAGGGAACAGGAACAGACCAAAAAAAACATTGCCTTGTCCAATCATCGACATCCTTTAAAAGCAAAGTTTCGATCGTCTTTTGAATGACTGGCTAATGACGTGTAATAGTACAACATTAATTAATCAATGTGGTCAAGTTAGAACAAAACAATGACAGCTACCACGCTACAAAAGTAAACAAACTATCAATGAAGAACCATCACAAAACCCATACAAACACACATATATATTGGCCAGTACGAACACTAAAATGATACAGGCAAAAAATTGAAAACAGATTTTGTCAATATTTCTTTATAAAGTCGAATCCTGAAGAACAAAACAGTGGAATCGATTCCACAGAGTCTAGTCTCTCTTATCAGAGATTTTTGCTGACCAGCGCCACCTCTGTTGACGTTTAGTTCCATGACTTGGTGGTTTTGGTTCCGATGGACACGTTGGCGCGTGAATAGATGTTATAACTCTACTCAAACACCGGGAGATGGCCTGACTGATGTGGGTCAGTAGCCGATCATTTATCAGATAAGGCTGAAGTGGTGGATGAATACATGGACTAACCTACATTTTTCTGTTTTGTTTGCTTTCTGTTTTTGCAGGAAAAAAAACGAAAAAAAACAACCCTAAAACGTTTGAATGATCGCAGGTCCTACAAATATTTCATGTTCTGAAGATCAATCACTCTTTGTGTGTTATACATAACAACAGACAGCTTGATAGAAATAACTTCTTGCATTTATTTCAACATATTGGAAAGCAGGCCGCCACTGTGCAGAGATTCATTCCTACATCAGTTGTTGTAACAAAGAACAGTTACAGAAAACTTTATATTCAGACTAGAATTACTCTCTAGAGATTGTCATTTGCTTTCTTGTGTCAATGTTGGTAGTTTTAGTCATGTTTGGTTTGGCCGTGGAGATGATGCTATTATTCAATTTAGATTATACGTTCAACCACAAACAACGAAATCAAACCAAGCACCAGCAGAGTTCAGAATTAGAATAAACAACAATGGAGATTGGTAATCGTGCTTTCTGCTTCCGCTATGACGTCATTCTCCCGTTAAGTTATCACCGTTATGAAAGTATTCGTACTGCGCTGCACTATTTCACCAAAGGGCAAGTATTCAAGTGGTACCGGTAATACAAGGGGGAAACATTACGTTAAAAAAATAACAATTTACCGAAATCGCATATACAACAAAGAGAGCATAAAGATTAATAAGTAGACTAGACTCTTTTTTTTTTTTTAATGCCCAAAACTTGAATTGTAGCTTCTGCGGCTCCCCATAGCTGTTGACGCCCTGGCAATTAAAACTTTATCGCCATTTAGTTGTACAATTATCAGTGCTTGGAGCGGGTTCTGCGATGCTGGATGGAACAATAGATGGAACAGTAGGTGGAACAATAGATGGAACAGTAGGTGGAACAATAGATGGAACAATAGGTGGACCAATAGATGGAACAATAGGTGGACCAACAGATGGAACAATAGATGGAACAATAGGTGGACCAACAGATGGAACAATAGATGGAGTAAT